CAATTTTATTTCTGTTACAGTGGTACGCAAATCATTTACAGGTGAATTGTATAACGTTTTGTTCATGAATGGAAGAAAAAAACGTTTTACTTTATGGTTAGAAAACATGCGTTTGTTTATATTGCCAATAAAGATGTATGAATAATACTTGTTCTTGCACAAGAAAAGTGTCAAAGTGTTTTGGACATTTTAGTTAAATCATTTTTTAAGGTGAAGAATTTGCGCACAGATAATAATATACATAGATATGCTGAAATTATTAAGAAGGAATGAAAAGAATATATATATAATATATATAAATATAATATATATAACAAACGCATGTTTTCTAACCATAATGTAGAATAGAGAAAGTTTTAAGAGAAATGAAAACTTTTCTCAATTTTTTTATTTATATATATAAATACATGCGCCCACAATAACATAATTAAGAGACGGTTCGCCAGCCCATTCAGAAATCAAGTCACGAGTGAAAAATTGAGATATACTTTTTAGAATTTGAAGAGGAAGTTTTAAGAGAAATGAAAAATTTTCTCAATTTCTCGATTTTTTATGCTCAGGTCCCGAGCATATTTTAAGTTCTGTCTTAACTTCTAAATCACACTCACACTATTTGTAGTCGTAGTAAAATAACTCATGTGCAAAGTGTAAATATGCAAATAAACTCTAGTATTTACCAAAGATGTTCGGGAGGATGCTGGGTTTGTGATAATAGTTTGAAATGAATCGAATCAGTAGAACGGCTTTTAGAAAAAGACCATGTAGAAAACTAATCACCTACAGGATCGGGAATGTGACCTCTAGTAAGCAGATGATAAGTAGTCCTTCGAAACTGTTTACACAGGAACGAGTGCAAGAAATGGTGACGAAGCCAGACCTTTGGGTGAAGCTTTTGCTTGGAGAGCTTCTTGCAGAGGTTGTCATTACTGGGTGATAGTTTATGACTATTTATGTGGACACAAAACAATGTTAACAATACTATATATTAGAGAAAATGAACTTTAATTATACAACGTATCTGTCGTTTTAGTTTCTAACTGAAACCTCAACTCCGTCTGGAACCCTAGCTGGAAATTCCAGTACTACATCGTATATTTTGCTAGAATACTTTGGATTGTTTCGAATATATTCTAAATAATCAGGTGCACCAGGAAAGATGACATTGTCAGCGACGATCATTGTACCGGATGCTATTAAGTTGTGACGTTCCAATAATTTCAGATCACGTAAATAAACGTCTTTCGAGTGATCGATGAAAATAAAGTCAAACGACGAGATGGAATGATAATCTTTTATTTGTGGTATTACAGATTCAGTTGAACCAACAACAATATGGACCCGATCACTGATGCCTGCTTGTTTCAGTATTTCATAAGCGATTTTTGCTGCTTCTTTACTTATTTCGACAGTGATGAATAATGCATCTTTTGGTAAATGTGATGCGATACGTAATGCACTGTAACCATAATATGTACCTAAAACTCAAATTCCATGTTTATCGGTCGATAATTAATAGATCTACTACTTTTTACCTAATTCTAAAACGGTTTTTGGACGTTGATTCTTCACTTGCTTCTCCAAAATTTCTCCTTTAACTTCTCCAACATGCATCATACCATTTGTTTTTGAAAACTTGTCGATCGCATTTATTACACTTTGGATGTCACCTGTGACGCTGTTGGATAAAACATAGTGCAAGAAATTAGAATGTGACATTTTGTTCGGCAAAAAATATCTAAAATTTAAACGTATCTTCTATCATAGACTTCAAATAAATATAAGATGAATGATAGAAAAGCTACTCATGTCTGTTGGAGATGAGAAAAAACGTGTATTCTTTATTCCGTAGTGATTTTGAATGCCACATCTACAGCACTTCGATCCTGCCGTAAGCAATGAACAACATTGAATAAAGTAAAATAGAGAAGGTAAGAGAACATAGAAACAACTTAAGCTTTTCTTCTTCCATATATAAATACATTCGCTGTCTTGTTACAATACAAAACTGCATTTTCATCGTGACATGGAGTAGCTTTTTGTTACTCTCTATTCTACTCGTTCTGAATAATAAATACCGAACACGGAAATTTATGATTTCTCGATGATTAATACGACGAAACGTCATCTTGTTTCATACTGCAGAAAAGCAAAAGGTACAAATATTTATTTGTTGACATAACTGTCCTAACAAATGAATCAACTAATTGTATGAGTTCTACAATCTTCTTTTGAACTTTCAA